AAGCCCACCCGAACGTTTCGTTCGGAGCATCGGGAAGACAGGAACGAGGGGTTTGCCAACAAGGGCTCTGCCGCAGTGTGAGAGCTCTCGCTCGCTCCCTCTCCCTGTCGGTACTGCGGAAAGGGCACAGCCTCAAGAATTCACAGTGCCGCTAACCTCGGCCTGGGCGACCAGTGTGCAGAGGCGGAGAGCGCTGTCCGGAAGAGCACCAAAAAGACACAGACTTTCACGTCTGAGGACCTGTCCGTCGCTGACCTGACCCCTGAACTTTCTGGGATTCTTTGAAAAAGCCTGAAGCAGAAGCACTTGTCCTCTGTCTTTCTGCAAGCTCACTCCTGGAAGCAGCAGCTTTTTCCCCTCGCACCCCGAAAGACAGGTCCATGAAGGGTAGACGCCATCGGATCGGCTTCACATGACCGGTCTCACTGGTATGTTCGATGGAGGGGTGCGCAGTAAAGTGGTCACAGACAATCACAGCCTCCACCACGACCTTTCAAGTCCTCCAGCAGCTCTTGCGAGACCATGCGAGCACATGCAGCACCGAGGGTAGCGCTGGCAGCGCTTTTCTTGGTGCCAACTTCAAATGCAGAGATGTGAGGTAACTACTCTGTCCGGTGGTGGCATAAGCCCGTTGTCATGTTATGGAAGGTTAGAAGCTGCTTCTTAGCTCCCTGCCGAAAATTCTTGTCGTTGCCCGTGACACCTGAAGTGCATGAACCTGACAAACCGTCAAAGAGCAGTTCCCTGGCCTCGTGTCATTGGTGCAGGAGTGTCAGTGCCCAGGAAGGGGCCCAGGCCCGGTTCGGTTCGTTCGGAGTGCTTTGCGTGCCCGATAGGCGCCAACTTTGGAGGCCCTCGAGATTTTGCCGAGAACCATTCATGCAGCTGTGGCTAAAGTCAAGCTTTTTGTAGCCGGGGTAAGTGCTGCACGGCATCTGTTGTTCGTGGGACTTATCCAGACACAGGAGAACATGTCACGATGTTGTCAAATTGTGTAGTTCAAGTTTCCGCCTCATTATGCATCGATGCCGATCGGCCTGCTTTGCGGAACTGACTGACTGCACTGATGCCACCAGCACAAAGATCGACATCTAAGTGGCACATCACCGCCAGGCAGTTCGCCCGAAAAGCAGCTAAGGTCATACTTCTCGGTGCTGCTCTGCGCATTGTTTGCTGACTTGAGGTGCTTGCAAGGCGACATTGAAAAACTTCATCTGCCTTGCGAAGAGAGCCCCTGGCCTTGCCACGATGGTACAACACGCCGCCAGGACCACTCAGCAACATCCTGGCATCAACTTTGGCAACTCTGCACGCTTGTGGCAATACTTTCAACCGGTGGGAAGGCCCAAGAAGTGCGGCAACCAACAAGCAGGACACTACCGGAAACCACACGCATCCATTGCTTCTGACATCGATTGTGCAGGAGGTTGCGCTGCTACTGCTTGCAGCCGGGCTGTACAGGCCCCTTTGAAGATAGTACGGCCCAGTACGGCACTATGGTTGTGGAAGCAAGCCGATTCGCCGTGCACATCGACTGTCTCCCGAACGTACACAATGCTCACGCTCAGGGCCGTGACCGGAGCTGGCACAAATCTCCTGAATGGATTGGAGAAGTGCTACCGCCAGCACGAACTCTGGACTGACTAGACGGGTGATGCTCATTTTTTCTTCCGAATGCCTGAAAGGTAAAGACCCCGTGCACAGCACTGCCTGGCATTGGTGTCGAGGCGCCTTTCTGCAGCACAGTTCCGACGTGTTTACCTTGTGCCGCTTCCAGCTATGCATACTGTCTCCCTGTCAAGGAAGCCTGCCGAAGCGCATCCCAAGCAAGGTACTGCGCAGCCTAGGCGTCATGTGGGGTGCTCTGCCAGCATTCTCCATACTCTCCGAAGTAATGGCAGTGTCTTCCCGGTCCCTGTGACCGAGTGCAGAAAACCTCAGACCTGCTCGCCTGCGCGTTGCTGAAATGGCTGGAAAATGAGGCTGCCACACTTCCTTTTGTGAGTCGTTTAATGTGTCGGAGAAGACGCTGCAATTTTGCAGCACAGTTCCGACGAGTTTACCTTGTGCCGTTTCCAGCTATGGAAGCCTGCCGAAGGCATCCCAAGCAAGGCACTGCGCAGCCTAGGCGTCATGTGGGGTGCTCTGCCAGCAGTCTCCATATTCAATCTGGGAAGTAATGGCAGTGTCTTCCCGGTCCCTGTGACCGAGTGCAGAAATCCTCAGACCCGGTCGCCCGCGTGTTGCTGAAATGGCTGGAAAATGAGGCTGCCGCACTTCCTTTCGTGAGTCGTTTGATGTGTCGGAGAAGACGCTGCAATTTTGCAGCACAGTTCCGACGAGTTTACCTTGTGCCGTTTCCAGCTATGGACGCATGCTGAAGGCATCCCAAGGAAGGCACTGCGCAGCCTAGGCGTCATGTGGGGTGCTCTGCCAGCAGTCTCCATATTCTGGGAAGTAATGGCAGTGTCTTCCCGGTCCCTGTGACCGAGTGCAGAAATCCTCAGACCCGATCGCCCGCGTGTTGCTGAAATGGCTGGAAAATGAGGCTGCCGCACTTCCTTTTGTGAGTCGTTTGATGTGTCGGAGAAGACGCTGCAATTTTGTAGCACAGTTCCGACGAGTTTACCTTGTGCCGTTTCCAGCTATGGACGCATGCCGAAGGCATCCCAAGGAAGGCACTGCGCAGCCTAGGCGTCATGTGGGGCGCTCTGCCAGCAGTCTCCATATTCTGGGAAGTAATGGCAGTGTCTTCCCGGTCCCTGTGACCGAGCGCAGAAATCCTCAAACCCGGTCGCCCGCGTGTTGCTGGAGTGGCTGGAAAATGAGGCTGCTGCACTTCCTTTTGTGAGTTGTTTGATGCGTCAGATGAGACGCTGCCTTTCTGCAGCACAGTTCCGACGAATTGACCTTGTGCCGTTTCCAGCTATGTATACTGTCTCCCTGTGAAGGAAGCCTGCCGAAGCGCATCCCAAGCAAGGCACTGCGCAGCCTGGGCGTCATGTGGTGCGCTCTGCCAGCATTCTCCATAGTCTCCGAAGTAATGGCAGTGAGTGCAGAAAACCTCAGACCTGCTCGCCTGCGCGTTGCTGGAATGGCTGGAAAATGAGGCTGCCACACTTCCTTTTGTGAGATTGATGCGTCGGATGGGACGCTTTCTTCTGGCATTTGCTCGGAGGTCTTCTTGAATAGGTGACGAAGATGTTAGTCTGTGCCATCGGGGACGGTGACTCTAACATTGCGCCGGGCAGTGATGTCCGCTGAATCAGCAAGGACATTGACAGCAGCACCCGGCAAAGAAAGGAAAGTCCCAGCAACATCTTGCAAGTTACCGGGTTTGTCCCCCGGAATACACAGCTACTCTGCAGGGAAGATGCAGAAGGCAAGCGTGGCCCATGTCCTGTGCTATATCTGCGAATCTCCGCAGGGATACGGTCTACCTGGCTACAATGGTGCTGCCTGCAGGAAACCCTGCGTGAATCCCACCACACACAAACATGATATCATGACTCACATCTTCAAGCAGCATCAACTTGTCTAGCAAGTATACACCAGATCAGAAAGTCCGCAGTGCCAATGTAAGTGCTACTGGATGGGTGAGGAAGAACAATGCAGGAAATCACGCCGTCCTTCTGATGCCAGCGAGAAGATCCTGAAGATCTCCGGAGTACCCCGGCAAAAGGCGAGGCAGGCTTTTGGTTTAGTCGTTTGCATGAGATCGAAATCTCGCTTCAGCTAAGGCCTTGTTGCGGCATTTCCTGGAGCCTCCAGCTCGTCCATGTCATTCACAAGATTCGACGAAGCTCGTGCTCGTGTGCAGCTCCTGCAAACGAGTCAGACGCCCACGGAGGCACATGATCAACTGACAGAAACTAACAGGGCTATGATCTCCCGTGATGCCAGTGATGCCGATCGATTTGTGCTTCCACATGCGGCTCGACCAACTGCTCTTGAAACGCCTTGAATAGACATGCTGGGTTTTGCAGGGACCCAGCAGTAACATGCAAAACCGGCCGAAATGTGTTGCCATCTAGGCTTCCGGGACATGCACACCTTCAACCTTTCGCTGCCCTTCACACACTGGTCCGTGTGCAAACCCGCAGACCCTACCCTAGACGACCGGCGGCTGGGCCGGAAAGGGCCAGGCCTTTCCAAGACAACATGTTCAGCATCGCAAGGTCTGCAGTGACGAGACCAGTACTAGGTGGGAATCTTCCGAGTACTCTGTGAGCTTTCACAGCAGATGCAATGCCAGCCAAGTTCTGACGTGTGCCCCGTGGGCACGGAGGGCACTGTGCAGTGATGCGAAACCAGAAACGACCTTGAATGTGTCCTCTGCCACAAGCTGCGAGGCAAGCTCCATGCAACGCTCGTTGCTTCGTTTGAGATCGTTTGCAGTAGGACACATTCAGGAGGCTGGGCCGGAAAGGGCCAGGCCTTTCCAAGACAACGTGTTCAGCATCGCAAGGTCTGCAGTGACGAGACCAGTACTAGGTGGGAATCTTCCGAGTACTCTGTGAGCTTTCACAGCAGATGCAATGCCAGCCAAGTTCTGATGTGTGCCCCGTGGGCACGGAGGGCACTGTGCAGTGATGCGAAACCGGAAACGACCTTGAATGTGTCCTCTTCCACAAGATGCGAGGCAAGCTCCATACAACGCTCGTTGCATCGCCTTCGTTTGAGATCGTTTGCAGTCGGACACATTCCGAACAGGCTTCAGTTGAAGTTGTGTTGCGGCCTTGTTGTGGAGATGCTTCAAGCCGGCCCCAAACGCTGGTGGAGCTACATCGTAGCATGTTGCCTATGCAGCCACTGAGTTCCTGTGTTGCATTCGCCTGCGGTCACTGTTTCACTGCGCTGTGTCCTTCTGGTCACACACTCGGAACTTCTTGTCCAATTTGCAGCTCAGGTGAAGCTCTCCACGGCATCTACTTGCCTACAAAGGTGCTTGCAACAAGGGCACCTGATGCCTCCACAACCCAGAGCAATGCCGTCACAAGTTACTTGCTACAAGGCACCTTCTCAAAGGTCTGCAGTGCCGAGACCAGTACTAGGTGGGTAGACGGGTCCTGCGGCCTCAAATGGTCGAGGGCAGCAAGCATCTTGCAGCCAGTCCGCGAGTCTTCCTCCCGCACGGTGACAGGTACTCTGTGAGCTTGCGCGGCAGAGGCAATGCCAGCCAAGTTCTGACGTGTGCCCCGAGGGTACAGAGGGCACTGTGCAGTGATGCAAAACCGGAAACGACCTTGAATGTGTCCTCTGCCACAAGATGCGAGGCAAGCTCCATGCAATGCTCGCTGCATTGCCTTCATGAGGAATTATTTGCGGATGACCCCTTGAATATCGGTTTCAATGGAAGCTGTGTTGCGGCCTTGTTGTGGAGATGCTTCAAACCGTCCACAAACGCTGGTGGAGTTACATCGCAGCATGTTGCCTACGTAGCCACTGAAATCGAGCCCCTGAAATCGTGCACCTGCCTGTGTTGCGTGCGTGTGCGGTCACTGTTTCACTGGGCTGTGTCCTTCTGGTCGTCCACTCGTAACTTCTTGTCCAACTTGCAGCTCAGGTGAAGCTCTCGACAGCATCTACTTGCCGGACCTCGCTGCATTGCCTTCGTTTCAGGACCTCTTGATCAATCGAAGCTGCGTGGCTGCCTTCTTGTGGAGAAGCTGCTTCCGCCAAATGCTCGTGGAGTTACATGGAAGCATGACGCCTATGCAACCACTGAAATCGAGCCCCTGAAATCGTGCACCTGCCTGTGTTGCGTGCGTGTGCGGTCACTGTTTCACTGGGCTGTGTCCTTCTGGTCGCCCACTCGGAACTTCTTGTCCAACTTGCAGCTCAGGTGAAGCTCTCGACGGCATCTACCTGCCAGACCTCGCTGCATTGCCTTGGTTTCGAGGACCTCTTGGTCAATCGAAGCTGCGTTGCTGCCTTCTTGTGGAGAAGCTGCTTCCGCCAAATGCTCGTGGAGTTACATCGAAGCATGACGCCTATGCAACCACTGGAATCGAGCCCCTGAAATCGTGCACCTGTGTTGCGTGCGTGTGCGGTCACTTTTTCACTGCGCTGTGTCCTTCTGGTCACATCAGGTGAAGCACTCGACGGCATCTACTTGCCTGCAAAGGTGTTTGCAACAAGGGCACCTGATGCCTCCACAACCCAGAGCAATGCCGTCACAAGTTACTTGCTACAAGGCACCTTCTCAAAGGTCTGCAGTGCCGAGACCAGTACTAGGTGGGTAGACGGGTCCTGCGGCCTCAAATGGTCGAGGGCAGCAAGCATCTTGCAGCCAGTCCGCCAGTCTTCCTCCCGCACGGTGACAGGTACTCTGTGAGCTTGCGCGGCAGAGGCAATGCCAGCCAAGTTCTGACGTGTGCCCCGAGGGTACAGAGGGCACTGTGCAGTGATGCAAAACCGGAAACGACCTTGAATGTGTCCTCTGCCACAAGATGCGAGGCAAGCTCCATGTAACGCTCGCTGCATTGCCTTCATGAGGAATTGTTTGCGGATGACCCCTTGAATATCGGTTTCAATGGAAGCTGTGTTGCGGCCTTGTTGCGGAGATGCTTCAAACCATCGACAAACGCTGGTGGAGTTACATCGCAGAATGTTGCCTACGTAGCCACTGAATTCCAGCTCCTGAAATCGTGCACTTGCCTGTGTTGCCTTCGTCTGCGGTCACTGTTTCACTGGGCTGTGTCCTTCTGGTCGCCCCACTCGGAACTTCTTGTCCAACTTGCAGCTCAGGTGAAGCTCTCGACGGCATCTACTTGCCTGCAACGGTGTCTGCTGCAAGGGCACCTGATGCCTCTCGCGATGTAGGCCGTGGACCAGCCCTTGCAACTTGAACCCGGAGCTTGGCATGGACATTCTGTTGTCCAAATGTTGCTTGGGACAAGGTAGGCAGGTCTTTTGCTCTTTCTTGTCGCCGGAGGTGGTCGCTGAGGGTTGCTGCATGAGTTCCAGAGGGTTTGGAATGACGGCCCGCTTGCTTGAATCTAGTCTTATTGTCAAAACATCTTCGGCCAGTGGACCTCGCCAACACCCTCTGACCCGCTGTGGATGGCCGTCGGGAATTTCAACGAGTCCAAACATCTCTCGGCCGGCGGCATCTCCTTGCCATCCCTGATGGGACCCGGGGCAAGAGGCGTTGCTTGTGCGGAAAGGGTCTCAGGAATGTTGGTATGACTGGGCACTCAGGTTTGGCTGCAGCCAGTCGAGTTCTGCATGTGCTAACCTGCTCTGAACATTTAGGGAAACTTGAAAAAGCCAAGCATCCGCATGCCGAGATCAGTACGAGAGCTCCAAGTTTGGAAAGCGCGGACTATGGGTCATGGTCCTCGTTTGAGTGAGCTGCATCGTGGGATGGGGTGGGTGATTGAGACAGCAGCAACCGCTGGACATCACGGCAGCCTCGTGCTCAGACGAGTCGAAAGATCATTGCCCCCGCTGAACGTGGCGATCCGGAAGAGACAGAACCCAATTGCAGTTGCAGCACCTTTGGCGCTCTGAGTGCTTGCTTATGCTTGCTTGTAAGATGGAGCCTGTAAACGCAGAGCACATGATCGAAAGGCTTCCTTCTTGACCTCGCACCAGCCGTTCCGATTCGCGCATGAAGCCAGCCACTACAGGATCTGCAGCTGTAGAATCCCTTGGTCTGGGGGCGTTGTATTAAAGGCAGAGAGCCTGTGACCCAAAGATTCCGGATGCCGCTCCCTGTGGCCCAGCACCACTTGCGTCTCCGAACATGCTGCATTCCGTGCCTTCATACCACTTGTTTTCGACAAACAGCAGGCACAAGAGCCACATAGTGTAGCCTCAGAGCTCTCCACAGGACCCACGAAGCAAGATTTGTGTCTTCCTCCCAGGCAGCTAAGATCTCTAAGCCGGCTTGCTGCAAATCCGCATCTAGAAGGCTTCTGGCTTGAGCCTGGGTGACAACAGGCAATGGGTTCGTACTGCACTGAAGGATCACACACTGCCCACCCGAGCCTAACGCCCTCCCCGAACGACCCTCATCTGGAAGAGCATAGTGCTTCCCCGTTGACAGGTTCTGTCTTGATGCCGGCGTCGGCAAGCTGAACCTCGACCGCCGCAGTTGCGCAAAGATCGTGCACTAAAGCAAGAGCTCAAGCACTACAGTTTCCGCTCCCCTTGAGCACAAAGTAGGGTGCAGACATGCTGCGCCGGCACATGACGGTGCATCATTTGTTCTCTGGCTGTACTCGCCAAGCTTGGGAAGACTCAATCATGCAAAGGGCCATATCATGAGCCGGTGCTGCCTCCCGAGGGGGGAGCATGGTCGTGCTCGATTCGGGTCTCGGACAAGAATTGCAACAGCATAAGTCGAACCCAGCACCGTGCAGGATGTCTGATTATTACGTTCTTATGCACGAAGCTTGACCGGCACCACTTGGCAAGGCGAGAATGCGAAGTTCTCATGCTGACATGCCTTGCTGTCGCTGGACTGAAGGGCCGGATCCTGAATGTCCCTGCCTGTCTGCGATTACAGGACAACTTTTCCGCGGCGGCTTTTGGCCGATCTCCCTGCCGTTGGGCATGCACCAGCAACGACTCGTTTCTTGAGAGAAGAACGGACGTAGCATAGCCGGGGTGGAAACCAGCCAACTTTTGCATTACATCATGAAGCCAGGATAGTGGCACGTAGACTCGTTGCCCTTGCAGTAGAGTCAGTAGAGCTCACCTACACGTTGCTGATGAGCTAATCATGCTTCACATATTTGCCATAGAGCAGGGGCATCTGTGCCGAATGTATGGCTTGCGTCTCCGAACATGCTGCATTCCGTGCCTTCATACCACTTGTTTTCGACAAACAGCAGGCACAAGAGCCACATAGTGTAGCCTCAGAGCTATCTCCACAGGACCCACGAAGCAAGATTTGTGTCTTCCTCCCAGGCAGCTAAGATCTCTAAGCCGGCTTGCTGCAAATCCGCATCTAGAAGGCTTCTGGCTTGAGCCTGGGTGACAACAGGCAATGGGTTCGTACTGCACTGAAGGATCACACACTGCCCACCCGAGCCTAACCCCCTCCCCGAACGACCCTCATCTGGAAGAGCATAGTGCTTCCCCGTTGACAGGTTCTGTCTTGATGCCGGCGTCGGCAAGCTGAACCTCGACCGCCGCAGTTGCGCAAAGATCGTGCACTAAAGCAAGAGCTCAAGCACTACAGTTTCCGCTCCCCTTGAGCACAAAGTAGGGTGCAGACATGCTGCGCCGGCACATGCCGGTGCATCATTTATTCTCTGGCTGTACTCGCCAAGCTTGGGAAGACTCAATCATGCAAAGGGCCATATCATGAGCCGGTGCTGCCTCCCGGGGGGAGCATGGTCGTGCTCGATTCGGGTCTCGCACAAGAATTGCAACAGCATAAGTCGAACCCAGCACCGTGCAGGATGTGTGATTATTACGTTCTTATGCACGAAGCTTGACCGGCACCACTTGGCAAGGCGAGAATGCGAAGTTCTCATGCTGACATGTTTTGCTGTCGCTGGACTGAAGGGCCGGATCCTGAATGTCCCTGCCTGTCTGCGAGCACAGGACAACTTTTCCGCGGCGGCTTTTGGCCGATCTCCCTGCCGTTGGGCATGCACCAGCAACGACTCGTTTCTTGAGAGAAGAACGGACGTAGCATAGCCGGGGTGGAAACCAGCCAACTTTTGCACTACATCATGAAGCCAGGACAGTGGCACGTAGACTCGTTGCCCTTGCAGTAGAGTCAGTAGGGCGCGACTTTCACACCACGTGGAGAACGAACAGGGCATTTACTCCCATTCATGGCAGCTTGAGGACGTGCTGTCAAGCACGCATGCGAATTGTGCTCTCGCGCTCCAGCTGATTGCGCTGCAAGCTTTTGCTTGATCGCAGCATACCAACGGCTAGGGCAAAGACGGGGAAGCAGCACTTAGTGTCACAACGAAAGACATGCCTCCTTTGTAGTCCTTGCAGGATGGTGCGAAGCTTGCAGCACGCAGAAGTCGTTTCGCTCATTCCCGAACTTCAGTGGAACTGGCGATCTTTGGTTCTTGTTACCACCAGGATCCAAGATTGCCGGGGGGCCTTCGGGTGTTGCCTGCCCATCGATTTCCAACCTATTTCTGCTGGCCGTGCTGCCGGCACATCGTCACCCAAATCAACCTGGAGCGACGAGTTGATCTGGTTCGCAGCTTGGCGAGGGCCTGGGTTGGCTGCTGCGTCAGCATTGAAGGCAGCACGCTCCGAAACAGCAGCTGATGGGAGGAATGCTGATGCAGATACTGGACTGCGTTGATATGCCGTCTGAGACTCAGTGTTTCTAGCCGAATTTGCTGGCGACAAACTTGATTGAGGTACTTGATGCCGCGACTTGCCATGCACTTATGCCGTTTACAACTGCGGCTAGATAGCCTCACGGACTTGCATTTCTGCTGGCCGTTGCCGCTGGCACACTGTGACCCAAATCAACTGTGGTCGACGAGCCGATCTGCTTCGAAACCCGGCAATGCCCTGCAAATTGGCTGGTACGTCAGCCTAGGAGGCGGCATGCAACAGAACGGCAGAGGTTTGAGACATCAGTGGCACGAGATAAGACATGGCTGCAACTTGGAAGCTGACGGTGGACAAGACAGTAGCCTTTTCATTAACACCTCTGCTGCGCAGATGCTCTTCCGGCTTTCAGCGTATGTGGCACAGTCAGCATGGCAGTCGTTTCCAGGCAGCTGTTGACGGCGGATGCACGCTGTAGCAGAGCACCCACCTTTCCGTGGGCCTGGCTGTGCAACGCAGCATCCAGTTCTGACACAGCTGCTACCGAAAGTTGCAAAGCTTGCAGCACACAGAAGTCGTGCTTAAGCTTGCGTGTGCGTCTGAGCTTGATGATCGCATGTCACTGATTCAACACGGGCAGAGAGGCGTGGCTGTTATGCTTTGCCTGGGGCCGCGAATGTCCAAGGAAGTATCGAACTGATCGTCGGTCCTTCACATGCTGTGTCCTTGTTCGAACTGTCCGACTAAACCCTGCAGCTACACCTGGACGACAAAGGCGACATACTGCACACCGAGCTGCTTCGAGCTTACTTCTCTTGCCGTAGGCCTATCAACTGTGGTCGACGAGCCGATCTGCTTCGAAACCCGACAATGCCCTGCAAATTGGCTGGTACGTCAGCCTAGGAGGCGGCATGCAACAGAACGGCAGAGGTTTGAGATATCAGTGGCACGAGACAAGACATGGCTGCAACTTGGAAGCTGACAGTGGACGAGACAGCAGCCTTTTCATTAACACCTCTGCTGCGCAGATGCTCTTCCGGCTTTCAGCGTATGTGGCACAGTCAGCATAGCAGTCGTTTCCAGGCAGCCGTTGAGCAGCAGATGATGCGCAGCTGGCACCAGGCTTGCCAAGGTGTTATGTCTCTCCTGTCACCTGCAGTGCAGAAGACGAATCCAAAACTTGATCTATTCAGGTCTCCATTCTCTTTTTTTTGCCGAGTCGCTGCAAGAAAGCCTTGGACAGCGGATGCGACTGATCTAAAACATCTGCAAGCTAACCGGCAGCATGCTGGCTTAACTTTTCTTTGCACGTACATGTACTTGTGCAGCATTGTGTTGGGCTTTGCGCGACCTGCTTCGTCAATTATGACAGCATCCCGGCAACTAGCTTCGTCCTGTGTAGGGCATGCCCCTTTGTGAAGGGAAGGCTCAGGAAACCCCAGGAGTCGCTCCAGCGACTATGTACTGGCTGGCCCGGTCTTTTGCGATGGCTAGTGTCGCTTGTTTCGGATGACCACATGCGTCATTGCTGGGAGATTTCCCATCCCTCCGCCTGGCAATTGACATCTGCTGCAGGGCTGACTTGCCTCAGCCAGCATCCTTCTGGCATAGTTGCAGCAGAAATGGGGCACATCCGAAGCGTGCCATGGCTCCGCTGCTAACCGGCCCGGCTGCCTTGGAGTCTGCGAGCTTTCGACTGCTCTGAAGTGGCCGAGTATGGGATGTAGTTCTTGCCTTTGCGCATTGCGTGCAAGCCCTTTATCAGGCATTTGACCAAACTGTAACATCTCGGGACAGACCCTGACCGCATGCAGGCCTAAGGGCATCTTTGC